ATGTAGCCAAAAGGACTAGTTGTGTATGAAACCCGTGTTAAAAGTGAGGCAGACAGTTAGGAAGTACTTAAGAATAAAAATGAAACTTCAGCTACTGCCGTTGTTCATTGTTTGAGCAGTGTCTTTGATGACTATGCCCCATTGGCACAAAAAAAAAAGAAAAAAAAACTAATTTATTCATCTGTCAATTGAAAGCATAAAAACTTTGAAGGTCATTAAAAAAGTAAGGGTCATTTGGTCCCAAGCAAGGAAATATTCATTAGCATATTTTTTATTGATGGGTTTGCTTAGCAAAAACCTACTTCGCTTTTCTACAGAATCACTGCTAACTTCTTAGTGCTTCTCGTGCCGTCGCAGCAGTTTCTTTAATCAATATGAGTAAAAGATCCCCGCTTGGTAATTGAAGCTGTTGCAAACGGTGGTTCTAAATTTCTCACTGCCTTCAAATCGTACCACGAGCCACTGTTTCGAGTGAAAGAAGAGGAAATAATCACACGGTCCTGGCACAAGCCAGCAGGGCGAGCAATTAGTGCTCCCTGCCAGAATATTTGATCTTCCCATCGGTTCCGATTGTAGTGTAAGGATGCATCTTCTCATGGAGGAGGCCGATTCTGGATGAGAGTTAGTGACCTCATTAATGTTTATCGTACATATTACTGTGGTTAGTGTTTCACAGTATATGTCAGCTGTGGGTGTGGCCCACATTTCATAAAATAAACACTAAAAATTTCCTTTTTGACTTGGAAAATCGTAGGCGTCATTTTGTAACTGGAGTAAGCAAACTTCTTGAATTTTTTCTGTTTTTGATAAAAGAAGTGGCTGCACCACTGTCTGTTTTCTGCAATTGCGTACACTATGAAGCGTCGTCACCTGTGCAAGAGTGTGGAAAAACAAATCATCCCTGTTTTATCGGTAGCAGTCCAAAAACGCTCATACACTTGATGTCCTTTAGTGTTTGAATCGGTCAGTAAGCATTTTTTGAACCAGCTTTGTGATATCTGGGCATATCGGCTACAATTGTGTGAATTGTAGTGAGGCCAACAAGGGGAACTTCGTCTTACAGACCAGTAGGTGTTACTCCTCAATCTATTGCAACATACTGTCCACTTGAACAGTTTCGTTGGTCTGGATGCTTGGCGTGGTGCTCCACTCTTATTCGTGCGCATTTATGCAGCCATTTCGGAAGTCTAAGTAATGTGTTCCGACACTTGTTTCACTCCTCACAGTCTGTTCATGAACTGTGCACAACTCCTCGTAAATTGGAAAAGCTAGTCATTCTTTTGCATGCAAAAATGTAAATACAGTGTGCACCCCACAACAGGCGGGAGCAACAATATTCGTCAACATTGGTGTCTGCATTCTCTGTCGCGCAGATGACTACTGAGTCAGAACAATCACTTTAGTACTTTCGCTGGGAAGTGCCTGATGGCGCTGTGCACATAACTCTTCAGTCTGATGTGCACATACTTACTGATTAAGAAATGGCCCTTACTTTGTGAATAGACATCATAGAAAAATTCATTATGCAGATTTGCCTGCAATGATTATTCACTGCCTATTTTTCTAACATTGCTACTATGACTTCCAGCACTTCTGAGCTGTCATGCGTTACAAGTCTTTCAGATGTCCCTATTATCATGTGCAGTGTACTGCGAGTGCTATCCACTGGTGCATAATTTCTTTTTTACGAATGAGTGCTTTTAGAGCGCGAACAGGCATCCGGTATCTCGTGTTTCAGATGATCAACAGTAGGCGAGCAAGGGCACGGGTAGCCAATTCTCTTGTCTTCCATGACAACTTTGACAGGAATGATGACTTGCTGAAATTTTTTGTCTAAGGCTTTCATTATTCGCCAACTGTTACTCAATTAATGTGCCTGTCACTGCAAGCATTTCACCGCGTTTAAAACGTCAACCAAGTATCCTCTTCAACATGATGATGTGTAAATGGTGTTTTCCCAGGATGCACTTGCTTACCACAACTGTAAGTTGATCTAATTAGTCATAAAAAGATCCGACGCGCAGGTAAAAACACAGATTCTAAACACAATATCGAGAACAATGTTATGTGCAGGGATACCTAGCACAACAGCGTGGGGTCATCTCATTTTATTCAAGTGATGTGCTTCTCGCCAATGCGTTGTCAATTATCATATTGCGGCTCAAGCTAATCATACTGACACTGTAGTTTTTGAGAGCATGTGTGGTGAGAGAGCCAATGGGCAGCACTGTACCAAGTACAGTGCAAGAGGTGTCCAGTGTAAATATCGTTGTCTGACTGAACGAGCGAAGAGACAAAGTTGCACAATTTCAGCAGGTAATTTTATTGAACAGATGACTATCACTGTTTTTTTGCACGTAATGTTCCTTGTTTACATGTATACTGCTGCATTCACGGTTGTCAATAAACAATGTAAGCTTACTTGCTTGGCATGTTTTTTGCCAGTTGAGTCCTCTAGGTCACCTAGCGGCATAGCAGAAATATTTATAGTAAATTTAGGGTGCCATGTGCGCGAATACCACCCCGCAATAGGAGCGAATAAATGCCCATAAACCTGCGGGTGCGCACCGCGACCCTTCGCACCCGCTACCAAAGCAGCCGCCATATTGCTTCAGCGCAATGAGTATGATAGGCGTTCCAGCGCCATCTCTAGGTTGGATAAGTTAGTTCACAACGCCACCGCTACTCTTATTTTCGTTGCATTGTCAAAGGTACAGTTTCCCTTCTCTAAGTGGTAGTGTAAAGGTGTTCTGTAGGTCGGCGAATGAACAAGGCTGCAGAGCGACATGCGCGCAAGGCGGCGGCGGCTTGCGATCGAAGACGGAACCCTGATGTGCGAGCGGGCGAGGCAGAAGCGTGCCGTGAAGCTGCGCGCTGGCGTCGACAAGATCCCGGCGTACGAGAACACGAGGCTGGAGCGGTGCTGCAGCAGCGTGTGGACCCAGCTTCGCCCCACTTTCGATCATTAACCCCATGAATATGCTCTCAATTTTTACATAGCTGTAATTCTAACCTCGAATCATGACACTGCCCATAACGTTACCGAAATAATCAAACTATTGCGAATTCGTCGAGAGGTTCTTTGTCGAGGTGTTTTCGGTATAGGTGTAGACGTTGGTTCCTTAACCAGTAAAGAAATGAGAAAGCAATTTTGTTTTTGATGGAATTCTTAACACCTGTGTGCAAAAACAAGTGAACGAATTTATTGAATTGTTGCTAACGTAATTATGCCGTACTTCAAATACTATTTGTAGTTCGTTTCATGGCAAACGTAGCCCTCTTTACCGGCCTATTACTATTCTATATGTCCGTCTAATAATCAATGCTGCTGGAAAAATCATTTCTCATAACCTTGAACGAACACTACCAATATACGCCTGTATACTGGCTTTGTTTCGCTGTACGCGGTCCACAGTGCCGTCATAAGAGGCCTTCAGGCACTTTCAAGCTTTTTGTAACGGATTTTCGCAGGAAGGACCCCCAGCAAAATGCAACAAAATGTTGAAAATAAGATTCCATTATTCATTACTAGGTGAATATCTCATTCATTAACTGATTGATTGATTGATCAAATTGTCCCGTGTTTGCGACAGTGAAGAAAGAAGTGACAGCCTGGAAGGATCCGGCTCTTATTGGGTGTATTTGTAGTGACACTCGAACGAACACAGTCACGGTTCGCAATTATTCAGAGCAGCAGTTAAGCTCGTAGGCGATTCTATATGTCTCATCCAATATTTCAGCGTTATTGTTGCTGGTCGGATGACTTCGAAAGTAGACTTTATTGTTCGCGTTCGGCCCGCAACCTTATCGGACTACTGTAAAATCTTAAGAAATGTTCCCAAAGATTCGGGCTGCGGTTCACGTAAAATGTGCTTACGTAAAAGTAGAAAAAAGCGCGCGCAGTGTCATCTTGAGTGCGATTCTGCATGGTAGATTAAGGCCCGTATTCACAAACCAACCTCAACATTTCCTCGTCGGTATTAAGCTGTTATTGCGCTTGCTGAACAAAGTAGGCTAGTATACATGTACCAATCTCGTTGTCATATTTTACCCTGTTACCATTGCTGTGCCTTTATAACGCACGTAGAGAGTACAGAAACTTGAGGAAAACGTGAGGAAAGGCCAAGGTTGGTTTGTGAATACAGGCCTAAGTTGAACGTAAACATCCTAATTCGGATGGAGGTTCCTCTCAAGAATCCGCAATGTCGTTGATTGCAGATGCTTAAAGGGCCCCTCACCACCCCGCGTTTAAAGACGAGGGTGTGATTTTCTCCTCTCATTCATACACACCATGCATCCTCCTCGCCCTTTAGTTTGTAAATGCACGTGAACAATATCAGCACTAAGCGCTAGAGCCTATAAGGATTTCGTGCTTCTCAGGTGCACGCTGTTATCGCTGCTTGCGCAGTTGTACACACAAAAATTGAAGCTTGATCAGCTGATTGTGCACGATATTCATGTGAGACAAAAAAGAACGGATGGACGGCTGCATGGCAAAGCAGTGCGGGAGACAAATCACATGTGATATTTTGCGTAAATCAACAAATTGAGATCACGTACCCTGCAGACGTCACGCGAACTACTGTCTACGTCACAGCAGTGCACCAAGAAGGACGAGAAATATCAGGAAAGAATATTGCGTTATTTTTTGTATTTTGGGAGCCTGGTGAGTGGCCCTTTAAAAAGATGTGTGATTGCCCCACTGTTTGCGCTCGCTAAGCTATTAGGCAATATGCGTTAATGCGAGAAAAAAGACCTTTCGGCTTACTCAGCCATTTTCGCAATTTTAATGAAAAGCTCCAAGTTTTCCGCATAACTTCTTTGACTTTCGCATTGTGCATTCATATTGAAATACGGAGCCAGAGTCTTACTGCATACTAAATGCAATGAACCAATCGCTTTTCATGGCAAGCTTTATATTTCTTTTTTGTTTAGGGATATTTCTTTCCCAACTGTCGCCACGTACATAACCACCGGGCTTAATAAAAAGGCGTAAACGAAGTAGCTGGAGATCCTTTCTATAGAGGAAGCTTGTGAGTACTAGTCGGGATCATGATGTCAAGACGTCGTAGTGTCCTTGTTATGCTACTTGGGGCTTTGCTGATTGGTAAGCCTTGATTTCGTTTTAGCCATCCAGCTCGATATCCCGCACGATATGATCATATATATGTATAGGGAAAGACATAAGTGGAAAGAAAAATGAGTAAGGGGAGCTTCGAAACAATTCTATTTCAATAGCTTAGAAAACATCAAACATGACGCCAAACGCACTACTTCAATCAAGCTCGTCAAGAAAACCACACGGTGAATTTGAATGTACTTCAGCTTCAACTTCACGAGGAAAAACGATAGTATTTAGGGACTTGTATATGTAACCCACCTTATGTTAGGGGCTTCATAACACTTTCGTGTGTATTGAATATACAGATTTCACTCCTTGAGGGATTCCTGAATTGACTTCGTCACTGGCTCTAAGGCTTTCAGAACTGAACCAGCTCCTCTTCCTCAAGCTTGTTTTCGGCAAGGCAAGTCCTCCTGAAACTAGCTTGAAAAACCCTTCCTGTTCTAAGATTTTTCATCTTCGCGCTTCTATCTACTGAAATATTTCCTCGTAGGGCTATTGTGACTCGAGAAGTAAAGCAACATTTCAGTAGCTCTTTGATAGCGATATTTTTCAACTTCTCAGTACATTAGGGGTCCCGGCTGTTGTAGGCTGTGGTATGCTTTCATCGCTCGACGTAACGCAGGTAAAACTACGAATAGCATATCCATCTGTATCACAATGAGCCGTCGATTATGTGTGTCTCTTTCCGTCATTGTTCTACACGTCGTTCACCGTTTCACAACGCTTGAAACGATGCTGCGATGCTTATTGCATGCAGTATACCGCACAACTTGCTGAGATACCGCCGGGCCGCACTCCACAGTTTAGATTGTCACCCACTTGGCCAGAGCGGAATCGCTTATATTTTTCTTCAAGGAAGGATTCACATGCAGTTAATCTTGAAGTGGGCCAGGTTTGTGCTTGCTTGTCAGGGCACCTTTGTGAATGGCGCAGTGCTACAGGTGGATATTGCGTAGGAGTGCACCATTCATAAGTTTAATGATTGATAATTAGACCACATTGCGCCATTCTCTGTCGTATAATATATAGTGTCACCTGTGTGGTCTATATAAATATCAGCATCCGCATTGAGTCGGTATTTTTTTATTACCTGCCAATTTGAATGAGTGGTTTGTTAATACCACACGTAGCGACCATCTCGCCTTTTCACGCACGGGCAGCATAACACGCTGTGTATAGCTGCTGTTCCAAACGTCAGCAGCGTATCAGTAAAGCTAGCTTTTCACGCTATCATAAAGGACACTTCGACAAAGGGCCAATTTTGATAGTTCGTGACACACTGCGAAATTGTTTGTTCGAGGATAAGCCAAACGCGGCCGATCCTTCTTTATAAAAGAGTATACCACTGGATCATTCATCGAATGCTCCAGCTACCCTTCTTAAGCCGATCATTCGGCTTTGTTGCTATGTCTTAGAAAATGACTTAGCAGCAGTCGCAGTCCAGTGCCATTCGCAGTACCAGAATCTTTATTGCTCGTGTGGCGCAGTCATTTAGAGCCGGGGATGTGTAGAAATACTTATTCTGGATCAAATAAACAGCAATATTTCTTGAGAATTTCGCGAATACTGAGTTAGCATACAGGCAATCTTTAGGCGCATGTCAGTTAGGAATTGAAAAAATGGGCGAAAAGAACAAAGTGTATAGAATTAGATAAACGCTCCACAGCTTCTCTAGGAGCGTTATAGAAATTATTGGATCGTTTCGTTGTCTAGTTGAAAACAACAATAACAATACTGTGGTCATATTTTACGGGATGAAGCATGCAGGTGATTGCATTCTCGTCACCCATTATTAAATCGACAACTAGATATTAGATGTTTGCTCAGTGTCGAACGGGGCTTCTCTTAGTGAGCACAAGAACAGGGCTACCTGAACACGATTACGTCAACTGAGCTAAACTTTATCTGTGATGTTCTCTCGCGAGGACGCTAAAAAATTCAAATGCATTTCAAACCCTAAACTGTTGTGTCACTCGTGAACCTGGGAGCCTTTACAAGAGTTAAATAAAACTTATTTCATAATTTATTGGTCAATAAGCTTTCGAAATTAACAACTTCTTATGAAAACGACTGTTGATTTTCCATTGTCGGACTATGATCGAATGATTGACTGTATTGATCATCAATAGTTCCGAAATACTCATTGACTTGCTTCAATACTTCGTCGACAATATTTATGTTGAGCGCTTTGCAATAAAGATGTCATTGATTCATTTCTATTGAAATATCATTGAGGAAGTATTTTTCAATGGTATCTATATTGAGTTCATTGACGGCTTTTCAATCGAAAGTCATGTGCCAATTTTAATCCTGGTCAATAATTTCTTCAACAATATTTTAATCGAACCGTCATGTATTTTCGATGCCATATGTTGTCATTGCTCAATAATCTTTCTGTGTTTTTTCAATAAGAATTTTTGTAAGAAATATATGACAGCGACGTTGTGGTAACGCGTGAACCCACAAGCTTTCAGACTGTCACCTGTTTGGAGGTTAAAAAGAGAAAACCACTTGCCTTCACCTTTCCACGCCAATTTGTCACAGGCGCTTGTCAAGCGCAGATCAAAGCCGGTTGCAAGCTCGAGACCCTCCGGGCTTGCGGAGACGACTTCGTGCCTTACGGAAAGGCGACGCACCTGCTGTCTTCAGGAGAACAGTTCCAAAGGGCATGCACGTAAGCATTCAAAGGTCATGTGCCACTTTCATCGGGCACCAATACGTTGTCGGCAGCACCAAGGCAAGACTTTCTGTCATTGCTAGCAGTTCAACCACTAGGCTGTGTCCCTGCAAGTAGTTTACCACTAGACTGTCCCCATCGCAGCGGCTTGTCATAGGAGTGCCCAATGTCGCGCACGTGTTCGCGCAGTAGGCTTTTACATACCTTTGACAGTGGCGGCAAAAGTAGTGTAGGCCGGTTGCGACGAAGAAAGCCGGGCTGACACGGTGCAGCAGCGCTGTCGCCGCTTTTATTCATAATGATCCAGCGATTCATTTCATCGCTATATCATCTGTCAAAGACACCTTAGGCAAAGGAGAGCTACAGCGTCACCAAGCACCGCCTAGTTTGAAAAGAAAGTAAAAAGAAAGCGGCGTTGCTTTCGAAAACGTCAGCACAGCTTTAGAATTCATTCATGCGACCTGAAAGCCACCCGCAACATACAGTGCTATCTCATTGTGAATATCTTATCACATATACAGGACCAAGAAACAGCAGATCGCGTGCAGTATAAAGTTCGTCCACGACTGCATGGAAGGCGTGACGAAGGCTGCTGCTTTGGTGATTCTCGATGGTTTCAAAGAAAACCTGGATGGTGCCTGCGACGAGGCTTCGAAACACCATGAGGGTATGTGCCGTAACTTTTCGTAAAATGATGAAAAAAACGTCCTCCTATTCGAGGCTTCATTCTCGGAATGCACCATGCCTGCGTTGAACACGCAGTGCCTTTAGTACAGCAAAAGCTGAAAAGCGACATATTAAAGCTTTGTTAGACTGTCCCACCGCGGTGGTATAGTGGCTAAGGTACTCCACTGTAGACCTGCAGTCGCGGAATAGAATTCCGGCTACGGCGGCTGCATTTTCGATTTTTGATGTAGGTGAAAGTGCTGTAGGCCCTTGTGCCCAGATTTGAGTGCACGTCAAAAAACACCAGGAGGTTGACATTTCCGGAGCCCTCCACTACGGCATCTGTAGTAATGAAATGGTGGTTTGGGACGTTAAACGCCGCGTATCAATCTTTGTCGGGATAGTCGGTACATGCTTACTGAAATACAAGAACACGCGTATCATCGAGGAAGAAAAATAAACGGCCAAACGGAAAGGGTGCCCCAAACAACTAACTTTATTCGCTAAACATCAGTGACATATATAACCATAGCAACCTTGAACGCGCAATTCACCTCACATGCTCGTCAAAAAAGAGGCATAGAATTGAGGAAAAAAGCTGATGAAAAAAAGTCACTTGACAAAAAATATTCCGAGAAAGTGAATTCACGACCTTGCAAAACAATAAACGAACACGCATATCTCTCTTCTTTTTTATGTAGTATGCTCACGTGATTTCACGCACCGAGGTAACAATACTCTTTCAAAGAAACCTGCCTATTTTTTTTTCTTTCTTGATGGTACGCCTATTTTCGGAAGAGCGACCTTTAGATCACGCTGCAAACTGTCTTGGGGTAGCCGATACAAATTCGGTGTCAATTTTTATGGAAGAGAACCCGCGAACTCGTGGCCCCCCGCGCTCCGGCGGTTGCTTGTAGCGCGTTCAAGCGGGAACGATAGAAACCACGGCCTCCATTCGCGGCATCTCGTGGCAACCGAAACAACCGGTTTTTATCGGCATGGAACTGGCGGCAAGATAGCAACCCCCTTCAAGGCAATTACGTCCGCCCTCTTAGTAATTGCTTTGAATGGGGAGGGAGTTGCTATTTCGCCACCGGTTCCATATCACCAATGACCAGTTGTTTTGCTCGCCACTAGATGACAGGTATAGAGATTGTGGTTGCTCCCGCTCCCGCTTGGAAGCGTTACAAGCAGCTGCCGGATCGCGTGGGCCACGCGTTCGCAAGTTCCCTTTCATAAACATTTACACTGTATAATTGTGAGGCACCCACATGCCATAAATCATCATAATTTTAGTGAACTTGGTGGTATTGATGAAACAGCTCCTAGAATGATTGACATCCGCGCACTCAAAGGTACCGGCCATCAAACCAGTAGATCCTAATTGAATTGATATTACGAGGCGGATCATATAAGGGGCTTGTGTCCCGAAATTTTGAGGTAATTATGAGTGACGCCATAATGAAGGGCTACAGAAATTCCGACCTCGTGGGGTTATAGCGTGGCACACAAGTCTTCGAACATTGTGTAGGGCAAAGCGAGAGTGGGGAGGGAATAAAGGGGGCATCGCGAACTCTTCTACACTGCTTAAGGTTTGTTCAAGCCTTAAGCATACGTTAACAACTACAATAGAGTCTATTGAAAATGCATATTACCTTACGAATGCATTTGGCCAGGTGAAGTATATATTTAAGCTATGTCCTCTTGAAGGCATGGTGCCTTGGCGCAGATTTTCTCCGTTGAGGCTCGCGCCTATTGATAGGAATAAGTGATTGGGTAATGTTTATGATTATGTGAAGCAACAAGTTGATCCAAATGAATTCCTGATTGAATGAATCCACCAATTTAACTGCCTTTTCTGGTGATTCAATATTTTTTGTATGATGCAGCGTTCGAGAAAGCCGTTGGCTGCATGAACTCTGTTGGCACTAAGCTCAACTCATGCTGGAGGACATTCCGAGGAGAAGTGCAGAGAGCTGTGGCCAAAGCATCCACCAAAGACGTAATCTTCTACGCATGCTGGTCAGTACAGAACGCAGTGCACGTTGGCAGGGTTGCGTGCTGAAATGTTTTCGGGGTTGGGTGGGGGGTGGGGGGGGGGAGGGACTGAGAGAACACGGGCTTGGAGCGCCACCCCTTGGCTGCACTATTGAACATTGAGGTGGCGAAACTTTACGTCTTCAAATTATTAGTATGCAACAATATCACTAGAAAAATGTCAAGAAAGCCCACTTTAGCATTTTCATCGCTGTTAATACGACTGGCATTTGAATAATACAACCAAAATATCACATGAAACGTGCATAAAAAGCCATGTTTGTAAGTGCACTCTTTAAGGAGCTTATTTTGGCGCTTTGTGACCATTGCTTTTACTCGCATTTCTTCACTCTCTAAGAGGACGGTAACCAGCAGCACCTTACCGTGTTTACTATCAGCTCTATTGCAGCTATAAAATTTTACTATCAGAAAGTGAAGAGGGGTTTCAGAAGCAGTTTACACTTCCCCAGCTCAATATTTCTTTGTGTAGCCTTAAAAAATAAAGCACAGGTGAAATAGGAAAAGCTAAAAGGTACAGCACATCGTAAAATCTACCAGTAAAAGTGCAGGCTTCACATACAAAAACTTTGGAAGTAGAGTGACTTGCCAGGCTGTTACGTATTGCAAGTCAAAAGTTTGAGACGCCAAGTTGTATAATACATGCACTGACGTATCTCAGCTAACTGTTGACTAGAATTAGCTTGTGTTGCCGGCCCAAGGCAGTAGCAGCTTGGTGCACGTAACATGTTGCCTTGGACAATTGAGCCTTGATTTGGCGAGAGCGGCTCGGGCCATTTTATACAACGTAGCTAAAAAGTATTATTCGCTACCATGTCAATATATTCCTGGGAACGTGGTCGGCACAGAGGCTGCCACGACTACACTGGTTTTCATCTAGATCAGAACAGCTAGGCGTAATCAACAGCGAGTTTCAGTATGCTCTACTTCCTCTCTATCTCCCTCATTTGCTAAAACTATAGGCGCAGCATCTTTTACACTACTCTGTACAGCCGCTCTGCACACTGCTTCGCACCATTGAATTGATTTTAAGCAACTGAAATACCTTTTCCATATAAGGAGAAATCTAAAAAAACGGGGGTTCACAACGCTGTCCTACTCCAAATACCTTTTTGGTTTGCGCATGAGTAAATATTTTACCTAACCCCCATTCTGGAGCCAAGTATCGTACGGCTTTGCGGAATTCACATGTGACCTACACAAGAACAGATCTTCACTTGCACTCACTGATAAAATGGGCCATCGATGTTAGGCGAGTTTGGATTAACAGATCAGTCTCTTTTAGGGTTGCGTACAATCACGTTACAAAATTTCGCGCATGCTGGAATTGTATATAGCTCCATCACGCGGAATATAGAACATTCCGGCCGGCACTGAATGGTGGCTCAAGTTACCATGGCTATACATGCCAGGCGGTCATTGTAGAAGAGGGGGAAGAAAGTTTAAGTGGAAAGACAGGGAGGTTAGCCAGTTTTTAAACCAGCTGGCTACCCTGTGCTGGGGAAAGGGGTGAGGGGAATGAAAGATGTTGAAAAGAAATGTTGCGAAGAGAGAGAGAAATTACAAAAAAAGTTGCGACAGAGGAAAGGCAACATCAAAGAGTATAAGACACTAAAGTCTGTCTCTGAGGCCAGTTGTCCGAAAAAGCTCAGCAAAGCTTTCAAAGCCTTCTGGGCTGAGGATGGGCTCAGCCAATGACCCAGAATCCTTTGTTCCGACAAAGGCCGATTGTCTAGTCTATCCAGAGCTGCAGTGAGTTCTTGTCTTTGCACGTTGAAACGGGTGCACTCACACAGAAGGTGCGTGATGGTTTCTTCGCAACTGCAGTAAGTACATGTAGGAGAGCTGGCCATCCCAATGAGATAAGAGTATGCGTTCGTGAAGGCGACTCCAAGTCACAGGCGGCATAGAAGAGTCTTCTCAGCTCGAGATATCCTTGGGGGAAGACGAAGCTGCAGATCGGGATCCAAGTTATACGGTCGTTGTAAGTCTGTGTAGCACAAACGCGCTGCTCGCGGGGCATTGTACTATATGATTTGTTCCGTGTATGGTTGGTGAGTTTGTGTACCTTCTATAATGATGCCATCAGTCACTGCATCTTCCCTCAGTGGTAGTCTCTATGTTTCACTGTTTTTCGGGGATAAAGATGTTTAAGCGATGGCCAACACTGCATGATAAAGGTGCTGTGATTAGTGAAAGTGCCCTTTTTTCCCGGGGTGTAGGGCAGTTTTTTTAGACATGGTAAAGCTCCCGGATAGTGTAGACTGCTTTACTTTGTTCTTATCAACTGTCACATTACAACTTCTAAACTTTGAATCAATACTCTCACGAAATCATACTGCAGGTTTAACTATTTTCGTACGCAAATATTACGGTCTAGAAGCTGCATCTTTTATAACTGTAACCTAATCACATTATCTGAAGAACGTTGCGCCCGTAGTTTTCACTCCGCGATTTCAGAGCGTTACGCAGACCTCTAAACTGCTTAAATTCTACATTTGTTTCTTGTGTGTGGAATATTTAAACAGTTACTGGTATTTTTTGTTGTTGTTGTCATATACTAGCATTATATAACGTTTCAATTCCTGCTAATGTTCTATGCAAGACGGAAGTATACGTAACTGAATAAATACATAAATAAATTTCAGAGAACACCTTTTTGGGCTAGTTGGTTTGTTACGTTGAATGCAACCATTTCGGTGATAATACAGGGACAAAGGAAAGAAGACTGGACGTGCACTACTCACAACTGAATTTTTATTTCGTAAACACCTTGCACTTCAATAAAAATGAAAACGCCTAAAAACACCGAAAATCTGTATCAGAAGTGGAAGTCTATATCACTCAGATACGCGATTTTCCTTCTGCTCAGAGGGGCGCTGATAAACATCTTCTCCAGTGGTCAGCCAGGCCTCGACTATCTCCCGCGTCTATCCTTATCACAGTTTCATACAAACTGCACGCTCATTAAGCAGAGGTCGGCAGTTGCCATCGTTGCAATACACTGGTACGTGCCCATCGCGGAAACAATATTCTAGTATACCAGCACGTTCGTTCTGATTTCACTAGTAACGCATCCCGCATTTTTGTGTTCCCGATTGCAGCTCGTACCATGAATTGGTGAACTGTGCCGACCAGTCGCTGACGCCGTGTGAAAGCAGCGGTGGAAAACGCTTGTCTCTCAACTTGCTCCAAGCAGCGTTCGGAGACGCGGTGGATCTATTGTGCGGCGAACACAAGAAGGGATCCCAGGCCTGCAAGGCACTTCCCGAACTGCCCGCCCTGGATGCAAACGACCGAAAGGTTGAAAACTACGTGGAGCTTTTGGCCGCAGCTGCCAGCACAATCGGCCGAAAGAACTAGGGAGCGATGTGCTGATCCTCAGTTTTTCCCCTGAAAGTATCCTATATATATATGTATACATGAAAGTATCCTATATATATATATGTATACATACGAGAGACGCATATTCACACACAACCGGGAAATTGTGAATAAAGGAATGAACGTCGTTTCCAAACCGGGTAAATATATCACTTGGAAGGTAATGCGTCTGATAACCCTCGTGCAAGATTTCACACATGCTAAATTGTTCAAAAGATTTTTGAAACATTCTGTACTAAGAACATACCAGTACTCCCCTGCATTATGTTTTCTTGGCTGCGCCCAGTCTCCGCTGCAGGTGTGCGGCAAACGAAACTGATCCTGTGCGCCCCGCCGCGGTGGTATAGTTGCTAAGCTACTCGGCTGCTGACCCGCAGGTCGCGGGATCGAATCCCGGCGGCGGCGGCTGCATTTACGATGGAGGAGGAAATGTTGTAGGGCCGTGTACTCAGATTTGGGTGCACGTTAATGAACCCCAGGTGGTCGAAATTTCGGGAGCCCTCCACTACGGCGTCTCTCATAATCATATGGTTGGTTTGGGACGTTAAACCCCACATATCAAATCAAATCAAAACTGATCCTGTGAAGCCGTTCTTGCTATTTTCACATTTCTGGGACTTCGAGGTGAAAAATCTGTTATATACCGCTTACTTTCCGAAACTCTATTATGTAAAGCGCGGAGACGCAAAGTGGCTGTCTTGTCATCTTTTTATAGATAGAAATTTCACGAAGTGGTGCTAAAGATACGTGCAAATGCACGCATAAATATTCATTAAACAGCCGCATACGCTTTTATAACCATTTGTTTAAACTTTTGTAACGATACCAATAGCATCATAGGTATTACCAACACCAGAAGCGGTAAGCTGATATCAAGCCAATGGGGAGATCACGAGAATGCCCAAGCGTATAGCTGGCTAAAAGATTAGATAGATAGATAGATAGATAGATAGATAGATAGATAGATAGATAGATAGATAGATAGATAGATAGATAGATAGATAGATAGATAGATAGATAGATAGATAGATAGATAGATAGATTGATTCTCAAAATGCCTACAAAACTCCAAGAAATGCGAAAATACTTTGCATTTAATAACGTTCTCCCGCTTAGATACCTTAATGTCGGGCCGATGAGCTGTTATTTGCAGCGCGCACGGTGGAAGCAGGGCGAGAAGAACACACGCACATTGCCCATGCATGTGACGAGTGTCCGTGTCCAAGAAAAAAACCAAAAAAGCTAGAGAGGGGCAGAAAAGTGGGCTAGCTGATAAGGAGGCAAATTAGACGAGCCCGGGAGTTTTTGGGTGGGAGGCTAGCGATGGGATGCGGTGACGGTCGCGCTAGGCGCCATGGTTTCCTTCCGTGCGTGCTACAGAACAGAGGCCACGCCGGTTTGGGGTGACCGCTACGTCGAGTCGATGGCTCGTGTTCTACAGCGAATCGGGTGTGCGTTAGCTTTCCTGTTTATTGTTTCGGGCAGGCTTTTCTGCTGCTATGTTTCGCGCCGTATGTTCTATTGACCGCCAGTGTGCAAGGATTGTTCGTTCCAGGTTTTTGGTCTTCCTGTGTGCGTTAGTGCCGTGTTATGTGCGTTGAGCCGTGAATTAAAAGTGGTTTTTGTTACCAGCGTTTCTGGCTCCTGTACTGCGAATTGCGGCACACCGACCCCACTGAGCACAGGAGGAGCCTTCAAGTTTGGTATAATAAGAATGAACACGTTTATAAAACTCCATAAATTGTTTTGACGATGCCAAATTAGAGGAAACAGCTAATATTAGCGAAATGGTGCACTTTGAAACCTACGTCAGCATCTTTTAATTATAAGTCGCAGCGGCATATTTGGTGAAATTGGATCCCCATGAAGAACACTAATGAAGTGGCTTGATATTCCAGGAGCCCATTACATAGAAGCTTTACGGGCAACACAACTTATAACGACTGCGGTATGGTGAAGGATGTAAAAGAAAGAAACTAGCTCAGAGACATATTGATTTCAATGAAGTATGTGAAGGATCTCAATTTTGGCAGTGCTCGAGTAAAGCGGTCACAAAATTCGGTTTTAAAATGAGCCGAAATAGGAAGCAAGCAGTGACTCTAAGCTAGCCGGAGCTCGTGGTTGTTCATTGGCTGAGCGCTTTGGATTAAACGCCGCACCTGCAAGCTACGTAACTCTGCCGCAGCGTCAGAAAAGGGGCCCTGAGCTGCACCTCTTGTAGCGACAGAACCACGCAACTACAATGTTTTAATTAGCCGCTGTTAACTACTTAGTATAATATTGCACTATATAGAAAGGCTTTTCTTGCAGAGCTACTGCATGCCTGCTAAATAACATACAAAGTGTAAGTGTACGTCACTCAGAGTAATGAAATGGATACGAGGGGGAACGACGAAGAGTTTGGATTTCGCTGGTAGAAAATATGATCGCCTCGCACACGGCGAATCAAGTTGGATATCATTTGGAAGGTCATTTGAACGACAGTTAGCACAAAACAGGCTAATTCTGTTGATGTTTTGTTGATGATGATAAGTCCTAATTGTTGCTTAAATTGAAATTACTTTAGCAGCCCAACAGGTCTTTGCAGATGAGAGAATTTTTAAATTGTTCTTTTTTCTCTCCCAATGACCTACCGAGATATCTCGAGAAAAACTTCTTGCCTATTCTTTCTGGGTTTTGACTTCAGTGAAGCTTAATTCAGTGCTTTCGTTCGCGAAGCAGATATCCTTGTCCTTGATATACTTAAGGTCCACATACCTAAAACGTCATTGGGTTCGTAGAGATTGCTTTACTTCGCTCTGACCGGTAAATCCACATAACTAAAAATTTCAGGATTGTTATATATAGCAACGGGTCAAATTTGCATTTGGGTACAAATGATCATCCTGAGTCAAATCAGGGAAGATATCACGGAGGTATAGTGAACGGGCACTCTATGCCAAAATAGCCAGTTTACATATGCTAGTACCTCTTCGAATCAATAGGAATGGTGGCCATTGGTCGTTGTGAATGATATGTTAGAGCACATAGGTGGAAGGACGGAGGCCAGCTTTCAGACTGGTTGGCTTCTCTGTGATCTTTGTAAAACTCAGTGTAAGAATGACACAGGCGCGACGATGCTGACTTCCAACGGAATCTCATTCAATCCCACATTCTCTAGAACCTATGTGACCCATGGGCCGTTTATGCTCGGAGTTCCAAGATGTTCAAGCTCTGTTACTAGCGAATGCAGTGATCTATTGTTTGAAAAAAAAAAGTGGTTACCCTTCGAAGGTGGGGTTCCGTTTCATAAACAATTTTCTGAAGCGCCTTGTACTGAATGGAATCCATCCATCTGTTCGTTCATTCGCCTGTCTGTATGTCCGTTCATCCGTCCACCTAGTGAACACTTCAATTACAGCGATCTCGCATCTTTTCACCATATACTCATCATATACAAGAACCGTCATTTAGCGGATATTCCAAGATCGAAACGAGAGGGGGCTAATTACAAATAAATACATCAAGAACGCACGACTCACGGGTTAAGGAACTCCACCTCTAAAAAAATTAACTTTAAGGGGATTGAGCATTGCTACCAAGACGAATGTGCTTGTCTGTCAGTGGTGATGATTGGATGGCGCGTACTAATATAGCTTTGCTACTATTGTGATAAAAATTATATGATTACTCTCAGCTGGATTTTGCAGCCGTTGGCGACGTGGACGTCGACATCATTCACCGGCTATGTATCAGTATATACTTATACGAAAACACAATAAATAAAACTAATCCAGAAAAAGACGCCTGCACTCGAAATCGAATGTCTGACCTTTTACTTTTGAGTACAAAGCTCAAGCCACTGAGCCACGGAAGAGAGTCACCTTTAACGACGAAACGGCAAGCGATTTATATCTAGCACTTACCGCTGGCGATGGTCATCTCGGGGGAAGAAGTATCGAGCGAGATGGCGCTATGAGCGCGCATCACCAGATCGTCACGACATGGCGGCGGCGCGCTCTAATCTCCGACGACTACTTTGCACCGCGGAGAGCCATGGAGGGGGGGGGGGGACGCTCGCACGTGTGCGCGCTTACTTCGGGTGGGGACAATCCTATGCCTTGGGCTTTCACTAGAACGATTCTGTTGTAGTTACCGGGAGCACAAAGGTCACTGCACTCGCTGCACAGTCTCCGTTTGCGATAACGGCGCGCTTATCAGACACAGTGAAGTAACAACTGAGACGGTTATTCGCGTTCATTTATATCTGTGAGTACATTTCGTGCGTAATTTGTGCTTGAGAAACAGGGGCACGTTTTGATCTGCCTGTCATTCTTCGCGTGATCCTCAAATTTAATGCTATCGCGTTGATTGCTTCGCCTTTGCGGCAAAGCTGGGACTTTTTATTGCTGCACTAATATAGCTTCAACCAAGTCCTTTGCTGTTCACGTTTCATTTGACGTCGACAGTACCAGTGAAAATGTTGAGCAATTGTGTCTGCTTTTTTCACGAGGACACGTATTCACTCTCTTTGCACAGATTCCATTGTATAAAAGAATGACAGAATCCTGACGTAGATATAGTACGCAAACCACGCGCAAAATCTTCAAGTGGCTCTCCTTTCCAGCCGTATATCGGGAGGATTTTTTTCGAGTAGATGTTAGCATAGCACAAAAAACAAAAACAGAAGCTTCTCTGCTACACCCTTAGAATATCTTGAAGTGGCATTCTGTGATCTTGAGCTAGCAGAGTCTTGCATTACGTCGCACTGAATAATCAAATAAAAAAGAACGACAGAGTCATGCACACGGCAACACAGGATCGTAGCTCTAAGTTGAAAAAAAAATCAAGTAATCAAAAAGAACGCCGTCTTCTTCTGCCCCAAATTATGCCACGATCTCGGAAACTGGCCAAACGGGTATCCGAAGCCAAAATGACCAATTTCCGCAATCACTTGCGCCCGCCCTTACGAGACAATTGAAGACCCTGACTGGGCGGTCATTCCCCTCATCGGCTTCCGGCCAGGGCGGCGTGCAAGTAATGGACGACCTGCGGTCTGGTGTGAGGGTGTAGAGAGCGAAGGACAGCACGATTTGCTTCAGTAATGCTTCTGAACTCGGCCTGCTTGGTGGTTTCCACAAAAGAAAAAAAATACAAGAAAGCCGAAGACGTGCTGCTTTGGGTGATCGCGAGAAGAAGGTGCGTAAGTTTCTTTTGTCTTGTACTGCTTAGTGTGTTCGGTAAATACGAACGACATAATTTCTTATGCTTTGAAAAAGAATGCACGCAGTGGCATAACGTATAAATTTTATCTTCAGGGACGGAAGAACGTGCGCTAAAAATGCCGGCGCACACTACCATCTTTGAATAATCTTAGACCTTTATCTGGTCAGAATTCGGGTTGAAAGTGTGTCAGCTTTGATTTCACTAATAAATGGTGCCACTCCGTGTTTAACTTCACTCGGTAATCGGTTTTTTGTACTACATTATCAATAAATTATCTTCGTTTCGTTCTGTACTGTGGGTCTTCTTTATCTAAAAATGACCAATGTGATTCACTTCTTTCATCGACACTCTGCCGCTTATATGCCACCCGGTGTGATCCGAGATGACCAATTATTATTCGCTTCTATCGCATACTATGATTATATTCGAAGAAAGATCTTGATAATGATGATGATGATGATTACTTTGGTTTTGGTCCTGAGAAGATGCGGGAAGGGCACCACGAGGCCGATCCTACCGTCCAGTATTCTTTTTTTAAATCAAAACACAGTTCATTAGTATACAATACTTGAACGTTAAATGATGACGTTAAGTTTAAAATAAACTTTACAAGTTTACAACGATCAAAAGGCTTGAAACTTTTTAAAAACGTTTCCAAGTAGTTGCAGTATTAGACAATTTACATTAGTTCTTAGGAACAATGTCTCAAAAAAGTAGCACTTGGACCTGTTACTGCAAATCAAAATAAGCGGTGAAGAATTCTAACCCAAAGTTGAACATCGCTGAAGAACAACTACATAAAGGTGGGAATTAAAGCTTGATTTGTTCTGTGAATGTTAGGACATCAGAAGCAGCGTAGCTCTGTGAAGTATATATTTTGTGTTCTTTTGGTTTGTTCACCATTCTCCGAAACAAAAGCGGTCATTCTTAGGCACGGTTGTCCTGCGGCGGATAGCGGGAAAAGCTGATGACGGGTTGTACCGGGCGGGCCAGGTCATTGTGGTTCAGCGCCCCTTGCGAGCAAGCACAGTCATTACCGTAGTCTGGCCGCGCGCGAGGCCCATTGCGTGTCCACACTTCAGCGAGCTGTCGACGCACACGTCGTGAATGCAAGAGAGAAGCGACACGGCCGCATTTACTTCAAGTAAGTGTTGATTTAGTTTTTTGAAATGATTCGTGTTAGCGTGCTGTTATACTTTCAAAAACAGTGCTCAACTTTCACAGTCAAGCGAGGATGAAACACATGGCGAAAGCCACGCTTTCGCACAATCGGTTTCCAGCGAAGAAGCCAGCAGGTAGTCAATTGGACATTATTTAGCATTTATCGATTGGTTACAATGGTGATCGACGTGTCTTTGTAAGCGTAGGGGTTGCGTGAACACGATAGCCTTACCAGGAACGCTGACTAGAATATCATTTGAAAAGTAACTTGGTCTGACGGAATGCTACCAGTGTCGTCAAAGCACATAAGTGAATATTATCACAATGAAGTACAAATACGGTGTAATGACGTGTATATCCTACGTAACTACCGTTGGCGTACCCCTCTGGGGTAAGCAATACTTTAATATAGCCTGCTAGATCACAGGGATACATATGTATAGTTTTTATTAGACTGCTACAAAAGTGACAACAATCGACATCAATCTGACAGGACACCTTTACTTGGGAGTACACATGCAATGATGCCTGCAGTGCCATCAGATAGTCAGCACAGTAACCCCCGTTATCCTTGGAGCAACATTACGCCTGCATAGGGCCGATTTCCGAAGAAGTTCCGAAGCATGTCCTAGAATACCTGACTGCCAAGCAGAATTTTCGGGATTAAACATTTGCTGTGATCCAGATTATTATTTTTTGCAATGGATGGGTCAATGTTGTCGATGTTGGGTCTACTCAATGGTCCTACATTCAAGTAACCAATGTTTGTTCTCGCCGTTTCTGGGTAGATATAAACTGGGATCACCGACGAGGCAAACTTGCATACCACGGTCCCTGATATATGTGATTGTGCCACATGTGAGGGAAGGACAAGGTTTGAACATGTGCAAGATGGTCCCGCCATTTAGATAATGACTAGATTGTCATGTTTGGCGAACCCTCTTACCCTCCCATTGCACTTTTGGTCTGCATCATTTGAAGGAGGCGATCACAACATCAATCAATACAAGGCGGATAGATAGATAGATAGATAGATAGATAGATAGATAGATAGATAGATAGATAGATAGATAGATAGATAGATAGATAGATAGATAGATAGATAGATAGATAGATAGATATAGATAGATAGATAGATAGATAGATAGATAGATAGATAGATAGATAGATAGATAGATATGCTCATAGTGCCTTTCAATTTGGTTAGAATTACACCACAATTAAAATTACTACAGCTGTTTTCGTGTCCTTTTTTGTTGGTCAAATTTTAGCACGCTGTAAATTCGCATATCCTAATAAAACATGGGCCAGCTAAGAGCCTTGATCTATGCCCTAGTGTTAGAACTCTATGACTCTTGTGGTGACGTCGCAGCTTTGCGCACATATCAGAAATGCGTCAGCTGACAGCGTAACTGATTGTATGACTAGATAGTTGCTATAGCATGAAATCAGGACAAAAGACACGTGAAGACAAGGCTAACTTTCAGCTAGGCTTGTTGCGCAGAACACAAGACTACAGTAACAGAAACACGTGGCGGAAGATGAGTATGACCAAAGCTCGCTATATCTTACACGCGCCTATGGTGAAGTCACAAAAGTTCATCAACTAATTTGAAATAATGACTGCAGAGCGTGTTCGTTGCGAAAAACAAAGAGGGTTGTTGCTCATAAGAATGGTTTATGATCATGTTTATGCCTGAACACTGCAACTTTATACGTAAGAGGCTAAAATTTATGTTGCAGTACCACAGAAAGTTGGCCGAGTTGGTTACTATTCTTGATAAAATTTTAGCACAACTAAATGAAAAGAACACCGCACTTGTTTGTCCGTTTGTCCGCTATTCGCCTTCGTCGCTTGTGCACCCGGAAATTTCATCAGGAATATTTTGCTTGTTATATTGAAGATCGTTTTATTGCGTTCAGTGGTAGTGTTAGAAAAGTAATTGTATTGACTTATAAAGCCAGATTTTCGCAATAATATTTAGTGTGATTAAGAACACGAACATTAGAAAGAAATGAATTTTGATTACGTCTCGCTTCAGCATGAAGTGTACGAATATTTCCGTGGGGTGCATCCACCGTTATTATAAACGTTGCACTTTATTTAGGAAAAGTTTATCTCAAGGTATTGCGATGATACAAGAGTAGTAGGAAGACTTTATGAGCTGTAAATGAGGCCTTTTGATCTTGCATGTGGGCCATTTGTTATATGTATATAAGACTTTGATAAAAATGTTTACTGCATCACTGTTCACTGTTGCGGTGTCTTCAATATTGTTTATTGGAATCTATTAGGTAAACGTACATGCTGTGTGTGTTATTAAAGCTTCTTAATCATCCTAATACAGTGCGATACACAAATGCTCCTGCATTGCGCACATATGTGGGACAAAGGGAAAAATGAAGCCGCATAGCACGAATACTGCAATGCGTCAAGCTAATGTAATATTATGTACCTTAGTAAATTTTCTTCCCTCTGGCACCAAATAATTCTTCTACATCTTTTTGCGGTTGTTGCCCTCACACACCCAGTGTCTGAAACTGGCTATAAATCGGATCATTACCAGCCTTCGACCAGGTCCGTGAACTGAACCCAAGGCCAACGTTTGTCTTGCTTGCGTTCAATCTCCGCAGCCGGGCTAATTCTTTGTTTATTTCGTTGTAAATGGGTGCTAGAAATGAGTGGTTGCGAATTATCTGTTTCGCAACTCTGCAGTTTCTTTGCGGGCTTCAGCTGAACTCGATTGTGATGATAGCCTTTTCGCCCAAACATCACCGTTCTAATAGGCATCATAATATACGACGTATACGTCATCTTGTATTATTAGTACAGCGCCATTGCAGTAACTATTACTAGAGTTAAATGTACAAGGAACCAGAATCAGAAATTCCTAAACGTCGTGCGTGTATAGGGGCTGACGTTTCTTTACTAGTGAACTTCTCTTCATCGGGGTTGCAACTAATTCGCTTTGCTCTCGTGTTTGTATGTTTCTTACCGTCCTCTCCAGTTCGAACTGATGGGGAGCAAATGAAAAAGCCGGGGAGGGTGGACGATGAGACGCCTTTGTGGCAAATTGGGTTAGTCAGAACGAAATAGGCATTCAGTGAAAAAAAGAGAGAGAGAGAGAGAGAGGTGGAGGTCGTGCGATCTTACACGTCTAGCTCAATTATGGTTGTCAGAAGAAAGCACCACTTAACAATGGTCAGTGAGAAATTCCTAGAAGAAGCACTTTATCGATATTCACGTACACTACAAGGTTTTTCCGGGCATAGGAGAAGAGGGGGGGGGGGGGTGAGGTTGCAATGAAGTAGATATACATTTGTTAAAACCAAGATGAACGACACAGATAATAGAGAACACCGTGACCCACAAAAAATGTATTACAAGGTTTTGATATACAACTAAGTTTAAAAAATGATAATGAAAAGCTTTTTTTTCATACGATAAACAGCAACTTGTTGAAATCTGTACGTATGCGTCGTGCTATTTTACAGACTCAACATTGTGCGGTAGATCATTCCAATGACAGATGGCACGGAACAGATACCACTTATATCAGAAGTTAGTACGTGCATAGGCAACTTATTCTTTTAAGAGGGGATATAGGCGCAGAAAATAACGATGGTCAGGAATATGTTGATCGTAGCAATCGAACGATCACAATAACACTTGCGAAAACAAGAAATGAGTGCCAGAAGTCATTTCTTTAATGACGGGAGGTTCATTGATGCTTTGATGTTAGTGACTCTCAAAGGATTTGAGTAATTTTTCGTGATAAATCGAGCAGCTTAATTTTTTTTTACAGATTCAAGTTTGTTGACTACATATATTCAGAGTGGACCCCACGTGAATGAAACATATTCCATTTTACGCCAAACCAGGAAAGTCTATGCTGTACGTTTTGACTTCCAGTTAGCTTGATGTAAGTGGCGTCTAATCAGTCGAAATGTATTAGAAACTCTAAGTGCCATTGCATAAATGTGGGCATTCTATGCGAAGCCGGCGGAAAGGTGCACGCCTCAGTACTTCTTTAAAGTTAAAGTGTTCTGTTAGCATTGGGTTACTCATATAGGAATTCAGCGTGGTTTTCGGTAGGAGTTATAAACTTTATTACTTTTTTTAGAAACACTAATTTTGATTTTCCAGTGATTGCACTAAGTAGAAATGGTGTTGAGACCATTTTATTTAAAGCAGTGTGGTCGTTGCGGTGAGTAATAAGTCTCTAAATCCCACAGTCGTGGCCAAATAATGCGCCTAGTAGGTGTCACTTTTTAGCGATGTCGTTGATGTAGAGGAGAAACAGTATCGGTCCAAGCGTTAACCTTGCGGTACTCAGAATTTAATTTTAGTTTATTCAGTAGAATACTAATTTAGAGTCAGGAGGTGATGACGCTTGCACAAAAGTTATTTAGTTGGTAGCATTTCAGTTTGTGTCAAAGCAGTTTAGCTTCAGGTGTAGGTGACTGTGAGGAACTTTATTAAGTGCTTCAGCAAAGTAGATAAATCGGCCTCAGTTATTGTAGACACGTTATAAATATGACGGAGGTCGTAAAAAATTTGAATATTTATATTTCGCATGAACATCCGCACTGGAAAATATGCTGGTTAAGAAATAACTAAGTATACTCGGGGAAGAACTTCATTACGCCGACGATATGATGTACTATAGCAATCTGCAAAGTATTCGTTCCGTATACATAATCACTTTCAGCCGCGTATGCACCATATCGTCGGTACGCGATGGTCCCCTTTGAAGCATTTGCACCGGCTGTCTGGAGTATGTTAAGTTTGTTAATAAGGTATGACCATATTTTTGTCTCTTGGAGTTCGGACGTTTCATTGTTGGATGCAAAGTTTGAGGTCGTCGAAGTTGGTACCTGTTACGTGAAAATGATTTGCCACTGCTTCCAGTAATTTCTTCGCCATGTCCACGAGATGCCAGTTTAATATGCCATTAACAGGCTGTCCCGTTTCGCTAATTTATACCGTCTGTGAGAGTATGAACACTCTATCTTGTGTGTGCTCGGATTTTGGTCCACGTTAAAGAACCCCAGGTGGTCAAAATTTCAGTAGCCCTCCACTATGGCATCAATCATGCTCATATAATTGTTTTGGGACGTCAAACCCCACATATCAATCAATCAATCAATCAACATTCGATCTTGAAGACAACGTTTAAACTAGAGCAGATAAAAGTCCGTTTTATACCATGCACATAATCAGTTCCAGCACTTTTTGTTGTAACGCCATTTTGGACTCTGCCTGCATGTTTTACAACTTAGACGAGTAGACGAGTATAAGGTTTTATGGGGAGCACAGGGAGAGTTTCGTATTTCATCCACTGTCATATTCCCACATTCTTAAATGTTTTCTGGCAGTAACTCACAGCGAAAGAAGCTTCGAGAAACGCTTTTCAAAGACACTAGTTGCTTGCCAGTATTGTATAACAGTTACATAATATATTATTCATGTTTGGATGCGCAATTGAGTGTTTGGTTATAAATGCTAGTGGCAGGCTGGGATACGCTGTGGGGCTACTTTCAGGTGGTGGGTGGTGTTCACGTTTCACTTAGCCAGTGTTAATTAACTTTGAGTTCCTCGTGATTTTGTACTCAACAATTGCTAAAAGGAATAGAGCACTAGTTAAGTGAAACAGAAACATTCAAACCACGTGCATGACACGTCAAAAACATAAAAAGAAAGGGGCAGACTTGCGCGCACATTGCAACTCATGAACGAGGTCCATGTTTATATTCAAGAAGGTGAAAATTCTAGGCAAGAGCAAAGATAGTGTAGGGCGTGAACTGTTAGAAGCTTTTTATATTATTGAAATAGACGGCAACTGCGTAAGTGACACTTCTGTTGATCTGTATAACGCAGAAAAAAATTTCCTGCGCAGCTTTAGTAGACACCAGGTAATCTCGACATGTGTTTCCTCCTCCTTCCCCTTTTATTTTTTTATTTGTTTTGGACGTATTGAAAAAAATGCATATATATATATATATATATATATATATATATATATATGCAGCGACAAAATTAATCAAAGCACTTGATATTTTGTATTTTGCGTTATTTCCATTACTATGTCCTTTTCTTGTGTTCTTGCAATTGATTGCGCAACGGTTCCCTATACAGTTATGTACCAACTCTCCCTTAGCCCTGTACTATTCAACCTGACGCTAATAGCTCTAAATGAGCATCTGCCAAGTACTGTCAGATTGTCAATGTACGCGGACGACATCTGCGTTTGGACGTCTGCAGTAACACGTCTACAGCTGCGAGCGCGAATTCAGAGAGCTGCCACTCAAGTTGCTATTTACCTCCGTCAACGAGGTCTGGAAATTTCCTCTGAGAAATGTGCACTAGTGGCGTTTACGCGCAAACCAATGCATAACTACAGCGTTCTGATAAACAACGAATAAATACGTCACCTCAGATCATACAAGTTCCTAGGTGTTATAATTGACAGAGACCTCTCATGGAGCTCACATGTATCATACATGAAAAGGCGATTGACAGGCATCTGTCATTTGTTCAAGTTCTTCGCTGGAAAGAACTGGGGAATGTCCACAACTGCTATGTTGCGACTATACAGGTTTCTTTTCCTTGGATTCCTTCGGTACAGCCTACCTGTGTTAACCAACGCAAGTAAAACAAGCATACGAATGCTTCAAAGTGTCCAGGCTCAAGCACTCCGGATATGTTTAGGCTTGCCCCAAAGTGCATCAACAGTGGCGACTATCGCCATCACAAGGGACAACCTCATCAAGACCCACATTAATGTGGAAGTGCTGAGGACACATATACGACACCTTGCTCGAACCCCTCGACATCACCTAGCCTCTCTACCAGTGGTCCGACCATGCACATCTTACTGCAAAACAGTGACCGCACATGGTGAGTCGATCCCAACTTCGTTCTCTCCTGCCGCTAGACCTGTGACTCCGCCATGGTGCCTCGCTCAACCAATAATTAATATTAACATACCTGGCGTCCAGAAAAAGGCCAATTTGTCGTCACCGGCTCTTAAACAGCTCACACTACTTCTCTTGTATGAGAAATATCAAGACTCCACACATATCTACACTGACGGATCGGTTCAGCCGGACAGCTCTACAGGAGCAGTAGTGATACCAAGGTTGGCCACGACAATTAAATTCAAGACATCTCACGCAACAACATCAACGGCAGCAGAATTTGCAGCACTTCGTGCCGCGTTGCAATTTGTAGTTGATCAGCCTACGCGCAAGTGGACTATTTTCTGCGACTCGAAGGCGGCACTGCAGTCTCTACTATCAGCCTTACGCCGTGGACCACACGAGCAGCTCGTACTAGAGATAGCAGAGATTATACACCACCTGACTGAGAAAGGGCACCAAATTACATTTCAGTGGTTGCCCAGTCACTGCGGAATCATCGGCAATGAACGGGCCGATCAAGCTGCCCGCTCAGCCCACACAGAAAATCATAAACTGCGACTACCACTTTCTAGGACGGATGCTGCACGAGAGCTCCGCAGACTTGCTCGCCGGAAAACCACATCGCAATGGAATCAGCCGCACTTCAAGCATGCCCGACTGTACTCGCTTGACCCTACGCTAAGTTTTCAAGTCCCGTCGAGGCTTCGCCGAGCAGACCAGACCCTGTTATGTAGGCTGTATTTGGGCGTTGCATTTACCAACGCCTACGCTTTCCGCATTGGGATGGCCGACACCGCAGCCTGTGGCCACTGTGGCAAGGAGGAAACCATTCAACATGTTCTTTGTGAGTGCCTAGCGTATAGTAGGTGGCGACTATGCCTTCGCAGGGAACTCAACAAATTAGATGATCAGCCTCTGTCGGAGCAGGAAATTCTGCAGTATCGTCAGGATGCGACTTCACAGAAGAGGGCCCTGAAAGCGCTGCTGAACTTTTTGCGATTGACCGGCCTTGCTGAACGGTTGTAGCTGGGACGCCCTTCCAGTGTGTGTTTTCGTTTTTTTTTTATGAGTGCGCGTGCGTTTTTTCCCCTCTCTCTTACCCCTCTTTCTTGCCCCTACTTCCCCACCCCCAGCGCTGGGTAGCAAACCAGATGCCAATATCTGGTTAACCTCCCGGCCTTTCCTTTCTCACTCACTCACTCACTCACTCACTCCCAACAAGAAGTACTTCTCAAAAAAGGACCCTTTGGTGGTTAGCAGATGCCTCTAACATAGTGTGCCTTTGACGGTAGATTTTTAGGAGAGCTACGTCAGACAGACTGGAGGAGCACCTATACTGGGCACCAAATGTGGCCCATTTCTGCCGACACCAATGCTTAATTGGCTTCATCCGGAAGCCTCTTGCTGAGCCTGCATTTTTGTCCTTGTGCTAGCTCAGATGCAGAACTTTAGAGTGTATCAAACGGATATTGTATTATCTTCTTGTTCCCAAACAAAATATTGTAGCTTAGGGGCTTTCAACACTGGATTTAATACTGTATTCGCAATTATGCTTTATCTAATAACAAATACTGAGTGGTTCGTGGCAGCTTATAATAGAACTAGTTCGAAGTATTTCGTTTCAACAAGCGGCGAGAAGATTTGTGACAAGACTGTCACAAGCTAATGTAGTAAAAAAAGTCCCTATTTTTTATATTACCTAGCACAGCCCTGTTGCCTATAAGTTGCACCTTGCGCAGTTTTTTTAGGTGTATGCTGCACGGGGCTATTATCTAGAACAGGCTTAATTCATGATTGACTTTTGTTTGAAAGTCTCGTACACATTGTCAACCCAGCAATTTACGGCACCTTTCTCTACTTTCACTGTGCCATCTCTTTACAGCTTCCAACAATATTTAGAGGAGCTTCTTCCTGGCATGATGAAGAGATGTTGTGGCCTAGTACTGCAACTCACGCTGTTGCATCTCGTCGCTACGAAGACCAATGACCGATCACCACACATTATTCTCATCGTTGCAGATGACCTGGGTAAGCTTCTGCGATGGTAGCTTCTCGAACTTTGTCTTTCGTCCACCTCGATAGAGCACTGGTATCGGGGCTCGGCTGCTGACCCAAAAGTCATGGATTCAATCCTAGCCACGCTGGTGGCATTTCAATGGAGGCGAAATGCTAGACACCCCTGTACTATGCCATGTCAAGCATGTTAAAGAACACTAGACTGCTTGTCGGCGATGGCAGCGATCGTGGTCATGTGGTTGTCGAAGCAAGTGGGAAGTGGAAGCAAAAGTGGTCGCATACCTTGCAGCTAAGGCCAAACGTTTTGTCGAAGAAATTGCACTTGGCGCGCACGTCGGCGCAACGAACTTCAGGTAGCAACAGCTTTCGGCGCTTATCGGCTGCATCCGCCGCCCGTACCTCTTCAGTGATGTCTTGCCGCCGCTTCCGCGCTGCTTCGGCTTCGAGGGCTATAATCTAGAGTTCCGCACGACACTGACGCCTCTCTTCGAGCTCGCTAGCTCTCACCGCCGAGTCTTGGCGGTGAGCATGAGCTGCTGCTGTTTTGCGAGCTTTCACCACCGCTTCCCTGGCTTCTTTGGTCTTAATGACTAGTAGCGGTGGCAAAGCGTCGCCTATAGCTCACTCTTGAAAACAGCGTAACATCAGCGCCTCTCGCGTGAGCAGCGAGAACAAGCGGCTATAACCGATGGACAAGCCTCGATCATAAGGAGCAAGCTTCTAATACCTACTTATTGTTCATCGTCATCAACCACGGTGCGAGAGGCACATAATGCCTGACAGATGCGGAGCGGCTATGTCCCTTATCAGTTGAATGATTAATAGCATAGTAAGTGATTCATCATCATCACCATCATCATAATCTTCATCATCGTCGTCGTCATCGTCGTCATTACGTAGTCATTACGTAAATGGGTACCTTGCATGTTTGGTGCCATGATGGCAGAAAGAAAATGTGGGGTCTAGAATGCCCTTGTTCTTCATCACCGTCAGCGTCATCGTCAAAGAGTGAGCGGCTACGTTGATGAACAAGCCCTGAGCACAGGAAGCAAGCTCATAAAATGTTAATTTACGTACCGCTATTGTAACCTCCGTTACCCAGCCTCCCATGCTCCTGCATTTGATACGACTGGTGTACGTGGACACATTAACCACTACGTTGCTGACTGCGACTGTCTCTTGCGTTGCTAATCCTGGTACCTCAGATAAAGCAAGTTTATTTCATGATATCCTATTACACTGTAGGCTACGATACAAAAGATGGAACACAAGACAGGTGATGCACACCACTTATCCTGTAGTCCATCTCATCCTCATCCCGCAGTAAAAAGTTTTCGCAAAAAAAAAATTATGAACCACCACCAACAACCCCAATTCATCGTTCAGCCCAACTTTAGATGTTCTACAACTAAGCATAAGAAAAGTAACCAGACACTACCTTTTCCAGGCTGGAACGATGTCTCATGGAACAACCATAAGATGCACACGCCCAACTTGGAAAGACTGGCACGGGAAGGCGTTATTCTGAACCAAAGCTACGTCCTGCCAACCTGCACCCCGTGCGTATGCATCTGATACTTACCGGTGGTTGTTGCAACTGTGTACAATATGCGGAACTTGTACCAATAGTCCTTGTCCTCATGCAAGAGGGATTGCATGTGTTTCTAAATACGTTCAGGTCTATTTTGCGCTGTGTCAGTGGTGGCGAACACTGACGATACACTTACTTTTGTTGGCAAATTACCCCGTTGACATTATATATACGAACAAAATAGATGTGGAGCCGTTCAGTATTATTCTGTTATTATTTTTTTTGCTACAGAAGTTATTGATACGGAGTAGCCAAGGCAACATAGACCTCAACCTCTCCACTTCAAAACAGTTAGAACGGAACAGAACAGATGTGGAACAAACAAAAGGCTATGATTGCATTGGCTCGTTTTACTTCCTTTTAAGCAGGACGTAATCAAACCAGGTGACAGTCAATACAAGAAACGGACGGTCGGCATTATATGTATAGTTCAAACTGCAGTGTAGTAATTGGAACATAAATGGAAAGCAACTTGAGTTGGCAAAAAACTACTTTCTCTATATTGGTGCCACACCAACAACATTATTATATAATTATTAAAAGTAATCACAGCGGTACAAACGGTGTCCAGCGATATATAATGCATTCAGGTGACATGCGAAAGTTTATTGATCATCTGCCAGCTCGTAAAAAGATGGCTTGAGGAGTGACACCAGCTTGTGTAAAAGGGCATTCCACGTTCGCGGTGAAGTCTACGAACGGCGCTCTCAAAAACTTCTACGTTCACACGCAGAAAAATTCTGTATCAAATGATCAAGGGAAGAACCGCCGCAGAAGATGAATGGGCAGGTCATCCGACGCATTATCCGAATATAATATGCTTGACCTTTAGCAGCGGCTAGACTTTCGTTTTAGTTCATTAAAAACACTGTTTTGTGGGAACCCCACGGAAAAAATTGACTGCAGTTTTACGCCCCAAAACTATACGATATGTTTATGAGAGATACCACATAGGAGGGGTCCAAAAATTTGACCGTATATTGTTTTTTTACCAAGCAGCTGAGCACCATAGCCGCCATATCACGCTGGCGTGGTCACTCTCCCCCGTCCCCAAAAGGCACTCCTGAGGAGTGCGACTAGTTGGTGCCGAGAAGCCGAATGTCTCTGCAAAAACAAAAACGATTCTGACTTGATACAATGCTTGAATTTCCCTTGTTTGAGCCATAGGCTTCATCCCAACCAGCCGAACTCTGTCAAATTTTCGCAATGACATCGTAAAGAAGACTAAATAAAACTTCATCATTCTGTTTTGCATAGATGCAAAATTACAGCATGTGGTTTTCAGCCAGAAAGACTTCAGCTATGGAACAGAATATCTGGCGTAAAGAATTAGTCCGATGGAAAAATCAGCACAATGTGTTGTTTACACTGATTCATTGTTTTTGCTTCCAGAACGAGGGCAGCACTGTTGACTGGTCGCTACCCGTACAAGCTTGGCATTCAGGTTTGACCTATTCTTTCAGTGTAAAGGTGCGTTCTTTGACAGAACATTGAACGACAAGGGGCAGTGCCGCTCTAAATTACAGTAATCATAACAAATTGGTCTGTAGATAGACTAGTCCTACATATAATTGATAGTTCCTTCGCCGCTCAATTCAGTGATACTGAGCATCTGCGTAGCAAGAAGGTGGCACACCGCACCCAAGTCCACCCTATTTTTTGTCATGGCATTAAAGAGCATGAAATGGCAGTCAACCACACCCGTCTGCCCGGCGTCCATTCAACATCAAAAAGGTACCTCGCCCCCGTAAAACATTTGCGCCTATAGGCCGGATACTGCGCCCGTATAAACTTGGTCGACCTCTCTGCATCAATTAGCCTTATTCTCTATTTTGCCTGTTAGCTCTATATTGAAAATAGCAGGCACACACATAACAAGCACACCCACACACATACACGCACACACACACACACACACGCACACACACACACACACGCACACGTATATATATAAAATATATATCCAACAGTTACTTCAATACATTCATGCTGTTTGTCACGTTTAACGTTGTGCCGATGGAAGTTTTCAGTGACAACGCTTACTTTTCACTACACTATTGTATAAAAGGACGAAAAAAAAACTATAGTAACGAGCTGCAAAAAAGTTGATTCAGGTTCGTGCTTCCGAAGCAGATAATTCAAGCCGGATATTGTGTGACGCACTTCAGAGTTGAAAGACGGATAGCAAGAAGTTGGTAGGTAATCCGAGGTATAAGCAATTCAGGCGCAAATTTTGCCATCGCTGTTGAAACCAGAACTTCCCCATGATCGATATAATAATATATACCAATGTAGGTGGCAGTGTATGCTTTGTATTTACCTTTCTTCTGTGGCCAAAAATAATGTCGCATCAGTCATACGCCCTCATTTGTTATTGTGTGAACATAAGCAAAGGAGCCCTTAGTTTCCTGATGTTCACATAAAACCCGAATTTCTTCCACTTGTTCGCCAGTTGAAGCTGTCAAGCCGTCTCATTGCATTATTTACAAGGTGCCGCTGCTACACCATCAACATTAAAAAGTTTGTTTAAACAGGCAAAGTTGTGTCACCTAAATAACGGTATCTACTTTAAACAGCCGCAACCTGATCTCCGAAAGAGTGATGTTGCATCCTGGAAACTCGTTTACTCTTTTGCTATGGGGCTATACCGAAAGCATGTTCGATATGAAAACAGCCCCGATAAGTTGACGTATGCACTTCTGAATAGGTTTCGATCATCATTTTGTTAAGCCAAGCAACCTTTCGGGGTGTGGGGTATACGCGCATGGCTTGGTCGAGGCGTAACAATTTCTTACCTGAAGTATATTTATGTTCGCAGGCACACGGAATCCGCCATCTCGAGCCTTACGGTTTGCCGCTCGGGATAACGACACTGCCCGAGGAGCTGAAGCGTCGAAATTATAGCACACATGCCTTTGGCAAGTGTGTACGACCATTCTTTACCTGTCCCGAAAAACATTTTTCAAGCGGAGGGGGGCATAGAGAAGGAGAGAAAGACCATATTGTCGACATGAAAAGTAACTGTCGTGACTGTTAGTTAGCCTAAATGGACGAAATATTAACAATTTTATGCTGACAGAATCGTTCAGCCTCTTCGTGCAAATCGGTAAGATGTCCTAGGCGTAGTACAGGAGAACCTGCTTGCCGCTTTTTTTTTTACGACGGCTTCTGCCCACCTCGTGATGCGTGATTGTTGCTGTGGGTCGTTTTAACAGCCTGCACTGTTTGTACCAGCTCGCGTGAGCGCTGCGTTTTCCCACTACTGGGTCGTGGTAAATTGCAAGACCTGTAGGCTACCATGGATACGGATACTGGGAAAATCGCACACTTGGAGTTCTACCGAAAATAAAAAAAAAAGAGTTAAACTGAGAGTCACTGTCCTCCCGCCTTTTAATCTGTTGCTATATCAGATATCACGGCGGAAGCGCTACTCACGCTAGTCACTATAGTCAAACCATGGCTTTCAGCCATGGTTTGACTAGTCACTAGCGATATGAAGGTGGTGGTTCAAGACACCATATTATTTGTGTAATATTAATTGTGTGTGTGCGTGCGTGTGTGTGTATGTGTGTGTGTGTGTGTCGGTGTGTGCGTGTGTGTGTGTGCGTGTGTGCGTGTGTGCGTGTATGTGTGTGTGTGTGTGTGCGTGTGTGTGTGTGTGCGTGTTTGTGTGTGTGTGTGTGTGTGTGTGTGTTACACGAACCTTTCTTGCACCGTGAAAAAATGGCAAACATAAAACTTTATTCATTGTAATAAGTGCAATCGTTGTTTTTCAAGACACTCTTCAACTTTGTGAATCCGATTCCTCGCCAAAAGTCAGCTATCAGCAATGTAGTTAGTCATATTTACCGATTATTCTAACCGATTATTCTTACCAATTATTCTATTCTATTATATATATATATATATATATATATATAACGTATGTGTGTGTACGCATGTGTTGCCTTTATCACGACGATTCTAGGAGCCATGCCGAACCAGTAAGGATTTGTTCGAAGAGCATTGAAGATGCATCAAAGGGTCACTTAAACGATGAGTTTTTCTGATTCCAAATTTCGTTTTGAACAAATGTCACATTCGTATGATATCAGCAGTAACATTGCGCTTAGGGCGCATGCATACAATATTCAGCAACTACGTGTGTTGAAACTATAATGTAGGCCTCAAATATATATATATATATATATGCACAACATCATTTCAAGTGTGGTGCGTACTTGTCGAAATGAAACAAAATACGGCAAGATATGTTGCCTGTGGAGAGAGGCTCAGCACTGCTTTGATCGACTGTTTCCTATGTCTGCAAGTAGAGCGCTAAATTATAAGTGTACCGGCTCTTCTCTGTCTTTCTCACCTTTACCATCAACATAGGTGAAAAGTTGTGCGGTAGAAATTCCTTCTTAAAACACGATTTATCTTAAGTTTTCACTTTTGGTCTTTCAAAGGGTATACACACCTCTCTCTTCTCGTTCAGGTGGCATTTGGGTTATTGTAACTGGTCGCTCACCCCGACTCATCGGGGCTTCGATACTTTTCGAGGATACTACCTTGGTTCTAAAGACTACTTCAACCACACAATATCCGAACGCAAGCCAGTGCTTGAGGAAGACGCAGGAGACATGCAGGAAAGGAAAGCAAAAATACAGGCTTATGGATACGATTACCGGAATGGCGACTCCGTAGACTACTCAGCAAAAGGAATTTACTCCACGGTAAGCAAAATACACATTTCGTGTTCCTTACGCAGAAGAAAGTTAGCCACCGTTTTTTGCCTTGCCATTTCTTATGCCTCGCGCGATTACCGAGTTTTGTGTTTAACTAAATCAAGAGTTGCACCTCAACACTTAAATTCTCTACATTTGCTTAGTACGCTTGTGCGTAGGCACGTTTAACCAATCAAACCTGGGCAGTGTCACTGTGCCAAAGTATCATGATACTATATTAGCAATACACTTGATTATAATGATTGGTGTATTTAGATACCTTTGAAGAATGTATCTGTATCTCAGAAATGAAATGTTTTTGCAATGCGTTTTTTCTAAGCGGCGGTACTATGCATCACACGGGTATCTCGTAATCTTTTGTTTCAGAACTTGGATGGCGTGTTTTCAAATTGAAAAAGGAAGGCTTGTACTTTCGAAGGTGTGCCGCATTTGGCTAATACACGAAGAACAACAAACGTTTCCCCCAAAAGACAGATTGGAACACGCCCGAGAGCAATGGCTCCTTTACCTATATAACTTTTGAACAGTTGTCGCCATACTGCAGGGCTTTCCGTAAGGAAAGCTGGTACTTCCTACTTATAACTCGAGTTCAGGCTCGTGTTCAGCAGTAGAGAGATTTACCTCGTTTATGAGTTTTGTGTTGATTCTCAACCAACAATGTTTAGAAGGCAGCTTATGATAAAGGATGCTGATACTTAGACGTAATTATTGCAACACTCTGCTCAGCGATACAGATATAGTTCGCAAAATAAACCTATATATTTTTCTCAATTCACTGGTGCTTCTAAAAAATTCAAGAGATATACATTATTCGCGCTAATAAATGCTGAGTTCCTTTGCGTCCTGCAAGTACTTTTGGTATCTATCTATCTATCTATCTATCTATCTATCTATCTATCTATCTATCTATCTATCTATCTATCTATCTATCTATCTATCTATCTATCTATCTATCTATCTATCTATCTATCTATCTATCTATCTATCTATCTATCTAGATGATTGGTCGAATACGACTCGCTGGTCATGACATGAATAATGTCACGATGTCGTCGCGTACGTCATAAAATACTTTCCAAAAACAGTGACGCATGTCCGGGGTCAAAATTGTTTCACTGGTATGCGCGTATGTGCGACAGATGACAGACATTTTACATCTATCTACCCAAGAACGGCGAGAAAACTTATGGGTAACTTTAACACGCGGGCATCAAAAGAAGGTGCAATAGGCAGCGTTGACCGGACGATATGCAAACAATAAATGTCAGTGTCCCAGCGGGAATATTGGGAGCGCAAACTAACGGGACACAATAGAGGAAACAAACGAGCGTACTTCAGCCGGAAACTTCTTTAAAGTTTTTCTTGATAGCAGCAGATGCCTTTGAAGCGTGTCGGTGTGTGCGTGTGTGTGTGTGCGTGTTGCTACACGCACACACACACACGTACAATAATTAGTTTTTCCAACTTTTGGCTGCTTTGTACTGTATTTCTAGCCGAGTATGCTACAGGTATAAGCGCATAAAAGACTTGAAGAGTGTCTTGAAGAGTGTCTTGAGAGAGAACAACAAAACAAACACCCTTTTTTATCAGCAGTAATAATCATCAGGCTTACTAATCGAGCCCAGTTTGCTATGTACTTCCGCCCCCGGGTTTAGTTTTGACAAGGTTCAAACACATTCCTTAACGCAATACAACCGAACTGTCCACTTCCTGAATTTGTTCCGCTACTGACCTTGCCAAAGCGAGCTACTCAAATCTGTCAAGGGTAGATGCCGGACCGAACTTGGGTCCCATTTTAAGAACACGAAGGTGCTCTTCGGGTGCCTGGCAGTCGGCCAGTACTTTGGAATGCTACTAGGTCTACGCTGTTGACAAGAAAAAAGTTGCCTAGTGAAAAATGGGTCATCCTGATATACATCCTGAACAATATAATTGCTTCTACGTACACACCAAAAGGGCAAGGTAAAAAGAGTAAATAGGGTATGTTACATTTCGTAAAATAACCTTGTAGATGAAAGCTTCATTGGGCTGTTCACTGCGCGTATTTGCACGTGCCCACTCATTTCGTTGCTGTCCTGAGTCATACGGCGCTTATAGAGTCGGTAATTGAGACACGTGCGTTCACGTTAAGACTGTGAGAGGGTGTACGTTGCTTTTGAAGTACTATGCACTGAAAACTCATCGCATGCACCTTTAACTTGGCTATGGTGGGTACTGAGAGCAATGTTTTCTCAGTGTGAATAAAACCAACCCGAGTTCTTTTGCAGACGCTGATAGCAAACAACGTTATGGAAACCATAGAAAAGAACTCGAAGCAAAATCAATCGATGTTTATCTACGTGGCCTTTCAAGCTGTACACGCACCACTGCAAGTGCCAAATGGATACAGGACCATGTGCTCAAGCCACACGAACAAAAGACGAGTGAAGATATGTGGTGAGCACAACTGAACCGCGGTTACAAGCAAGAACTTGGAACAGTAATAGCCAAATTAGTATGGATATGAATTCTGCATTTAGATTATGCGGAAGAAGTATGTTGTCATTCCGAGTGCTCTCATTGTGATTTGAATATGGATTTCTGTGGCTCCCTAGAAATGGTGGCAGTCATGGACCATGCAGTCGGACTCATCGTCAAAAAACTGAAGGACGTACAAATGTGGAGCAATAGCCTACTCCTCTTCATGAGTGATGTAAGACTCCAGTTGAACAACCAATATTGGTTTTAGGAGTGCCCCAGAAGATATTTGCGCCTGTCACAGGCCTTGAAAAGAGTTTCTGCGTTATTTGAGAACTGATATGTGAGCATAGTGTATTAGCGATATGGTCCCAAGGACGTTATAGCACTCATTGATTCGGCGAAGCGGTGCTTTTTACACAGTAAACTGGAAATAATTGCTCATAACGTCTACCTTGGTTAATACAATAATTAAACTGCATGTTGAATACAGGAGCTCTAGGTCTACAAAGATAGAGCAGCCACAGAAGTTGAGTGGTATCATAACAATGCACGTCACCAGCTAAGCGTGAAAGGAAGTCTTGCTTAGTTGTTCTTAAAAAGAAATCATGCTAACTAAAATTTACAACAGCTCTGGAAAATGTAAGAGACATTGCAGGCAACATACGACGTATTAACGCTACTTTCGGACAGGTAGTCCTTCTCTTTGTTATTGCCACAGCTAATGCTAACAAAGAAGGCAGTTCAATAATGAGCTGGACATCGTGATTCCTTGCGTAACTTGAGGTATTATAAGTAACATTTTTGGAGCAACCGAAAACAATTACAATCAGCGTACGGTAACAACAAGCATTATCTAAAAATAAGGTATGTCTTTTTCCTTCCTTTCTTTTTCTCAGAATGTACATCAGATTGTTGTTTTCGCAAAAAGAATCCTCACGCTTACACAAACTTTAACGTTTTTTTTTTTTTTTTTACAGAACGGTGCCCAAGTTCGCTTCGGTGGAAGTAACTGGCCCTTGCGGGGTAACAAAAACACACTTTACGAAGGGGGCACTAGGGTGCCGGCGTTTGTTTCGGGGCCACTGCTGCACAGAAATAACATCACCAGTTCAAGGCATGTATGAAGGTTCGATGTACTTACAAGCGATATGAAGGTGGCGGTTCAAGACACCATAATAATTCTGTAATTAAGAGTAATTGTGTGTGTGTGTGTGTGTGTGTGTGTGTGTGTGTGTGTGTGTGTGTGTGTGTGTGTGTGTGTGTGTGTTGCCCGAACCTTTCTTGCACTACTATACTTTATTTATATTTCGAAAGCACACTTCTGTATTATGAATCTAAGGACGTAGGTTTGCTGGCGAAGTATGCAGCTTTAATAGAACAAAGCGAATACTTTAGGGCATATGTGTGTACTATAGTAGTGCACTTATTCCTACCCGCTCATGTTTTCTATAGACAGATATCGCTCTCTATAGACAACACGTTGATTACCTACCTCAAAATATTTCTTAACTGCACGCACGAATCGCAGCAATGAGAACATGAGACAAGTACCGGTGCAGACTCGCATGCCACCTTCGATAAACCTTTTGTCATAGTTGTAAACGTAAACTGACATATCGCTGTATAACTCACGTTTCTTTTTAAGTAGGTCGCCTCTCGTATATCTCACAGTTCGATGTCGCAGCATGGACACAAAATCATAACTTGTTTTTCAGAATTGGCCTGCATGAGCATGCTACCACCAATTGTATAGAAAGTCGACGACTTTTCTTTTCTAATAAATAACTCGTCTTTGTGTAAGCGCATATCACACCCCTTCAGTTTATGTATGTAGCATGTAAAACACGAGACTTGCCAGAAATATATAACATCAAGAATTCTTGGTAAGGAAGGCTTTGTCTTGTTAGTTTCATTGTCAGGAAGCTATAGTGTCGTAGCGAACTATAGCTCCTTAGGCAGCCAAGCGACCTTCCAAGATGCCATCGCAAAAATGAATCACATTCATTATGTTTTTGTGATCATTCATTAGAAATTCCAAAAGGCTTGGACGTGTGATCCAGTGCGCTTCAGTTGTTACGCAAACACTCCGAACGCACCAAGGTTCTTATGTATGTGAATAACCCTTGTTTACGTCTACATTCTTACAGTCTTATCCATGTTGTCGATTGGTTCCCGACGCTTCTCAGTGTGACTGGTGCATTATGGAACAATACGTTAGACGAAATTGATGGTGTGGATCAGTGGTCAACAATCAGGAACGGCACGGAGCCTGCACCGAGAACGGAATTTATCTACAACTTGAACCGCAAGAAAGGAAAAATTTCCGGTGCAATCAGGTGAGCGTTCTTTGTAAGGTGAGCATTATACTAGAAATGCAATAAAAGTTACTGTGGACATCAATTATCGATCTGTAGCTCTCAGTGCGTATTGAATTGGTGTACACTATATATGAAGAGAATAGTTAGAATCAGGGCAAATCACAAGCAAGTTTGAATCTGCTCCTTCATAAATTATTTCTGAATTCATCGCCATGACCACACTAAGTTAAATGGATGTTGAGGGGGTGCTCGGTCAGCTCTGTAAAAACGCTCTCTCCTTGAAAGCGTGAAGGCTTTCGCAAACGAAGTTCTTCAGAAGGAGTGTTCCTGGACGGGAGAGCATCAAATGAGGCAGTCCGCACGCGGGACGTCAAGATATTTTGATGCCACTCTACAGCTTTCAAAGTGGTTAGAGAATGGCACTTCCGTACACCACATGCCAATAGTTTAAACTCGTTGTCGTAACATGTTGACGTTTATCCAGTCCTTACGTTAATCGTCACTTTCGTCACTCAAGTGCATGGAATGAAAAGGAGCTGGACTGTCGAAGCCCTTAACGTTATTTATTGGTGCAGTGGTCGGTACTGTCCTAATTTCTTGCAACATCATGGATCGATGGTTTCGAAATTACCTACGTTAGTTAAAAGAATTTTCATGCGTTTTATTTGAAACATCAAATGGAGAAATAATTAGTTTTTCCAACTTTTGGCTGCTTTGTACTGTATTTCTAGCCGAGTATGCTACAGGTATAAACGCATAAAAGACTTGAAACGAAAAGTTTAGCTTTACGCAGGCTACAAATGATTTGTAATTGTTTCGCTAGCTAATTATGAGCTGCCTCAAACATTTACGTGCTCCAATTATTCACTCGTGCTACGTAAACAGCTAGCACCAATGTATACGCGTGCATTGAGAACATATAAATTTAATGACAACAAAAGTGTTCAGCAAAAGTTTCTAGTCATATTTAAGGTGGCACATCATGATTAACAGGTGAAACTCAGATAGAAAAAAAATGATAGGCAATCACAAGAGCCAGTTGCCGACTCTGGAATTGGTCCCCGCATATGTTAGGAAGGTTGACACCACTGGCAATCGAAGAAGACAGTTCTCCTGCTGGCGTGCAGAACGTGGCGTTTCACATTAAAAAATTTATTCTATTACAACCGATTAAGTTACACCCATAAAAAAATACAATGACTCGCGTTAGGACAGAAAATACCAAAGCTAAACGTTACGTGCAACAGGCGTACGAATACAAGGCTGACTATGCCTTACTAGCGAGCTCTGTGAAGTTCTATTCCTGATTGCGAAAATCACATGCATATCTGCGTGTTTATAATAGAGTGCCCCCAAGTATTATTCTTTCACTTGCTTACGTGAACTGAAAAAACGCATTTTCGGCCTTTGGCCATCGATGGTTTGTATTTCTCCTAAGCTCTGTTTTATGGAAAGAGGGCACAAGAACTGCGTGCTTCACGCGTGTTTCTTTTTTTTTTTTGCCCATTTGCTTCCAAAAGGTAATGCAGCAGGACGTCAATTCTCTTCTCTTGCAATTAACCGCTGCATTTTGTTCGCGCTTATATATGATAGGTTTGTCAGGGGGGTTGTCTACTCATGGGAAAGCTTTTGCCTCATATTGGTGTATCATTGACTAATAAGGCGCCGACGCAAGCGAAAAAGAACTGAAGGTGTAAGAATCACGAAAAAGATTCGGCATGAAGCAGAGTTTTTAGTAAGTCATTTTGGAAACTTGGGGACAAAAAATATTTAGTTTGACCCCAGGCAGTGACTGTTCACCTAATTAGCTGGTTAACTTTCCTTCCAGGGAAGGAGACCTGAAGTTAATTGTGAGACCGTCGAAGACCTTCAACAGCTGGTATGCAGAGTCTGAGGAACAGCCCGAGAAAGTGAACTTAGGTGGAAGGGCGCATACATCGCTTCTCTACAATATCACCGGTAAGAAAAAAAAACGCTCTTTGTTCATTGAATTTTTATGGGTTAGAAAACTCGCGAGCTAAAATACCGCAATCTCGTGTGCCCAGACAGCTAGCTCCTCATGCCATGAACATTCTGCGGTTTTGTCAGTAGTGGATGTGCTCCTGCATTGAGATTGCCGATTTATGGATATTCGAGACAATGACGGAAGAATTGTTGAGAACATTTCGTGGCATGTGAGCGTAGAGCTATTTACACTGAATCATTCCCATGCGGTGCAAAAACGCGTTATTCAAACAAGTAACTTCATATAATGACAGCCTCGAATGATTGGAACATCATCTCGCAGTGTACAACGATGGTCGTCAATAATATCATTCGCATAACTGTGCCAAGTGGATCCTGTTTTTCAGTGCCTTCATATTCAGGCAACTCGAACCGAAATGCAACTTATCCTGTAAAAGACCACATAATTAGAAAATAAACCATATGCGCCAGTGCGGCTTCTGTTGAACTGCTGGAAAAAGATGCTTTACGTCAACATCATGGCCCGATCAGGGTGCACAACACGCATCTAAATAAACCAGACTTTCAATCACTCTCATTGGCAACAGCCCTCACGTTTCTGGTTATCTGTGAATCTGGCTGTGTCCCTATCACCAGGAAATGGAACAAACGCCGTAGTATTTATGGCAATAGCAAAGATATGAACAATAGTGGTGTGTTATTCTCGTCACAGTCATATTCCATCTGAAATTTAAGTCGACAACATTACCCCGCGTATCGTTTCTCCTATGAACCTAAAAAAAGCACGAGCGCTGGGGACAAACACGGCTGAAGTGGTTATGAAACGGGCCAATGATTTCCGTAGTAGAAGGGTGCTTGCGAAAACGTCGTGGGGAAGGAATTCCCCGCGGTATTTCATTACGTGAATTTGCAGGAAGATCCTCTGGGAAAGAGAAGAAGAGAGGGCTGTGTCGCTGGTGAAGTCACTGCTAACTCTGATCAACAGAACAAGCTCGCCAGCGCTGGCTCTCGCAACATCTCGACAGCTAGAGTGTGTGTGGTAAGAGAAAGACGAAGAATGAAAAACGTCGTCAGTTTCTGCCTCCCGTCATGGGTCACGGCTCAGTGCCTTTAAGGATGGGAAAGAGGGAGTGATTAAAGAGAGAAAATAGACAGAAGTAGAGAGTGTAATGACAAGAAAGTAGTTAGTTCCTGCAAATCTACAGCGAAGCTAGCAGGAGCGGTGAACTCGAGAAAGGCTGGCAGGGTTCGTATCTTCAACCACGAGGGAAAGAGGGAGTCCTCTACTGCTGTCACAGGCAGGCTGAGCAGGAGTTAGTGGCTAACCACCTTGCATATTTGAGAAGGACGAGCAGAGTGGGACTAAATGACACATTCCAATGTTTCTGCATCGTGAAATCTGCAGCGAGCAGATGATGAAAAGCAACCCATGGAGCACATGCGCACCGCCATCGAGGCGCCGGTGGTCGGCAGGTGATGCAGCAGCCACCACTCGTGTCTATGTGGGCTGGACTTCAGTAGGGGTGACGTTGGTTTGCCGCTTGACACTCGCTTGTAAGGGTGAGCCGTTGATAGCAGCTGCCGCAATAGTTGCCAGTAGTAGTCCAGTAGGACTACCGCTATGGTGTCCTGCCTTAGCGGTGGCGTCTCCCTCATCATCCTCAGTTATCCGAACATGCTCGACAAGCATGTGGAGGGACGAAGGAATTGCGCTTGCTGATGTTACGAAGTATGGTGCATGAGCCCGCCATAGTAAACAGAGAAACAAAGCGGGTTGGTGTGCCTGGATGGATTCAGGTGGCTATTAAGTCGCACAGTTGCTTGTAAATGTTGTAAATCTATTCGTTTCTGCCATCCTTGTGCATTCGTGTTCCCCGTGACAGTTTGGTGAAGGTACGCATTATAATTGTGGTTAGCTTGACGTGAAGCAGCGACTTGTTGATGTCAGCTCTTTCTGGCGGCAGCAGCCCTTGTAGCACCAGTCGGGAACTACAGAGAACTGTCGCAGACAGCTGGGTTGTTGTAGAAGCAAGTTGCTTGGCTGCCAAGTGAGGGCCAAGCACTTCAGCAGCGGTGGGGCTGGTGTCGAAGGGAAGCTGGCGCCAGATACAACATCAACAGTCACGGATTGTCCTGGGCCTGCCCGTGAGCACCAGCAGATGCCCGCACAGTCTGTCCTCTATTTTGGGCCATGGCTGACAGCTGGAGTGCGGACGGCGGTGTCCTCCTTTCGCTGAGTTTGTCCACTCCAACTTGATTTGTGTCTCCAACTCCAGCTTTAAGCTTCTAAGTTCCGACTTCCCACGCGCACCTCCAAGCTTATGTTTCCGCTACACTACTCCTCACGAACATTGAACCTGCATTGCCGTCAGTGACAGTAGGCTACTACACTGTTGTAAGCGCTGTGAAATCAACACAATTTTCGTGTTTAGACGACACACATGACCACGCGAAATTCACTTCACTACCATAGCAACCGTATTCACTTACAGTAACGCATTGTAGAGTTAATGAAGTATCAAACCCAAAAGAGTTAGCTGCTTGTATTTCTTAGGACATCGACCCGATTCATTGCTATCGGATTCATTTCTTTACACTTGCAGTCGTCAGAGATCAGCTTCCTTAATACTGGCTTTCATTCCATAGAACGGGTTCGCGTTAAAATGCTGTCCGTCAAATGTGCCCTACCTGTAATAACATCTGCAGAATCATTGAGCAAAACTGTAGTGCCAGTTCTGAAAAGCAGCCATATGAGTTTACTACATTTACACTATATTAAAATATACAAATAAACGTCAAAATTTCTGAATATTTTCCCTCTAACGCAACTAACGTGTACAACTTGTGCTCGTATGCAGCTGACCCTACTGAGAGGAAGGACTTGTTCTCAGAGATGAAAAACGAGGCTGAGCGCTTGATTACCAAATTGAATGACCAAATTGCTCTGATGGTGCCTGCGCCAAGTCTGGAAGACCAAGCCGAAGGCCATCCAAACAGGTTGGTGCCGAGAGGAGTGTTCAGTCCCGGTTGGTGCAAAGCCCCTGTGTGGAAGAAGACTGAAAGCGCGGCGCGAGCGTTAAGTAACAAACCAGAGAGTTCGGATGATGAATAAAAATGACGCGTGCACATTTTTTTTCACTCGCAAACCACCTTATGCTTCAAGGATTTCTGTAGGTAAGTTGGCATCACTTCGAATCTCGTTCTCCAACATGTTATGCTTGTATTTCAGGGAACCATACAAAAAACTGTACTGTATATGCCACGATCGGGCTCGTTTAGGTGATTGAGCACAGTTTCCCACGCAACATTTTGTTAGAATTCCAAGAAAACAAAAGGACGACGAATGCAACAATAGCTTTTCCTTATTTAAGACATGATCACTGCTCTCGATTCTGACTTAGTTTCAATCAATGGTTCTGACACTGCAGGAGCGCTGGCACGTCTTAAAAACTATGAACAGCTTTGCATACTGCGTGTATTCGTTGTTTCGCACAATGAAGGCTAACAGGAGTGCGTAAACTTCAACTACACGGCGTTTGCCGATAGCTTGCATGTGGAGTAAACGATGAAGACCACTGATGAGTATGTGCTCAATTAAACAAATCAATGCTGACTGATATGTTGCTTAGAAAAAGTCGTTCTTACTGGTAAGTGTCTGTAAGTATGTACCAACAACACTCAATTTAGGTGCTGCGTATAGGGTTTTAGTACGTGTAAGGTTTAGCGCCAGTTGGTCGAGGGGTTTGGACACCTGTTCATGCGCGTTAGCGTTCCCAGCCATTCAGTGAGCATAGAAAAGTTCAACCTAGTTGAAGACAACTTTAGGCACCCAGATTATCAAATCATTCACGTTCTTTTCCGCTTTCATTTCTCCAAAATTTTGAGGTTCTAAATAGACCGTGGTTCTCTGTAGAACACAATGACCCTGTATAGTAGTCATTGGGCTAAAAGCGAGACTGCAAGGTCTATGAGTTCATTGAAGCAGCCTTGCTGTCCGTCCAATTCATGCGTTTCTTATCCTGAAGAATAATGATAGCGAGGGAAAGCGAGAACGAGCGAATAAATGACCCAGAACGGCGCTGACTTGCAAATAAATATTTTTTTTTCAAAATCAAACACAGTAAACACAATGTGGAAAAGATTGAAAAGCAAATATTGAGAATGGGCACGGTAACAATAAATAACAATAAGAAAACATAAATAGCCGACTAGATATAGATAAAGCGTAAAATAACCCTGGTGTAGGACAGGTCCACTTGTGATAACGAAAGGTTAAATTACTCCCTTGTGAGCTTACAGTGACATGGTTAACGCCTCCAAAGTTTCTTGTGCACGCTCATGCTTCGGAAGTGAAAACGTTCCACCGTAACAAAATTTCTAATTCCAAAGCTTTTACGACAATGTATATTTTGAAAAATAATCGGTGCAATTTTTAATATTTTGCGTGGGCTTTTGGTTCCTTAAGTTACACGCCAACTAATTCGCTTTATGCAAATTTTACACGAAGATTACAATATAATATGTATATAACCCTGTACATGAAAGCTTTCTTATGTTTCTTGCGGTAATCACACAACTAGAAAGAATCTATCAGTAATTCTTTATGTGCGTAGGCTTTCACAAGGAAGAAATAGAAAGCGGCAAAAAGGCACCGTGTTGATTCAGTATTGGCCACAAGTTGCAACAGCTATGCCCATCCGTGCGCTGCATAGTAAATAGGAGAAAAAAATAAGAAACGAATAGGATTGGCGGTAAAATTGGAATGTCTGGGGTTTAACATGCCAATAGCACGGTATGATTATGAAAGAAGCCGCAGCAGAGCACTCGGCACATTTCTACTCCCCTGGTGTGCTTTAACAGCACCTACGTCTAGTTACATGAACATCAAAACATTTCGCATTTCGCCTCCGCTGAAGATGCAGCCACTGCCGCCAGAATTCGATCCCGCGAAATTCGGGCTAGCAGTCGAGTGCCACAATCATTCGAGCGCTGCTACGGTGTGGTGCAGAGAAAAAATAAAAGCAAAGGAAGTTCTTTCAGCTGGAATAATGATTCATGGTGAGTTTAATCCTAGGGTTAATATATAAAAGTTGGTTCAAAATATAGAACGCAAGCAAAGAAATATTTGGGACTTTTACTTGAAAAGGTGCCCTGCATGAAACACTTTTTTGAGTAACCATAGGATTAACTCATTGTAAAAGCGTATTACTTCACAAATTGAACGCCGCAAAAATTCCTTAGAATCCGTCCAGTACGAGCGGAGTTAGAAGGATTTGTCGCACGCTGCAATCACATTCTCTCTTCTCTCGTCCTGATAAAAGCGCTAGAAGCTGAGCTGGGAGAGATGGGAGAAGCAAACAAAAAAATGCCACTCGTGACTTTGAGCATTTTTTTTTTCTTCGAATACGCGGCTTTTCCAGTGCGATCGCGCGCGCACGCGCTGACAAGTGATCATCTCGCGTCTACCTTTATAACAACCGAGCACGCCATGTTCAAATCAGGCAACGGCTGATAGATTGGCTTACTGGACCTATTTTCCGTGATTTGTCCAGAGAAGAGAAAGTTACTAAATGCGAAGCATTTCTCAGCAAACTTTTGCGACTTTGAGAGTATCTATCTATCTATCTATCTATCTATCTATACAATAGACAACAATAGACTTATCTATCTATCTATCTATCTATCTATCTATCTATCTATCTATCTATCTATCTATCTATCTATCTATCTAGCCACCTACGATCTTTAGCTCTCCTGTCCGTTTCGATACCGGTATCGATACCAAACTCGGTATGGCTCAACATGACTGCATGAAGAATATATCTGACTATTTATCACATGTAAATCATGACAAGTATATCATGAATGTCATGATTTTATATTTCATGGTCATGCCAGCTCTTGCGGTGGTTTTGTTCACATGGCATGTTGCAAAACTGGTATGCTATGACATGATTGCATGGCGAACACATGAGGTAGACCCTAACATGAAAATCATGACATGAGTGTCATGTAACAACATGACTACATCTACGCCACGCTCATGATGCGCTCGCGGCCGTTTCGCTATCATCACATATACCAAATTTGGTGTTACGGCACGTGAATGGATGAGGAAGGTATGTGACTGGTGCAAACATTATAATCGTTGGATGCGTGTCATGAAACAACGTGACTACATGCCACGCTCATTATGCGCTGGCAGCCGTTTTGCTAGCTTCACTTATACCAAATTTGGTGCTACGGGACGTGAATGAATGACGAAGGTATTATACTGGTGCAAACATGATAAACATGAGATGCGTCTCATGTAACAACATGACTATGTGCTACGCTCATGATGCGCTAGCGGCCCTTCGCTAGCTTCACATGTACAAACACGGTATTGCGCAACGCTAATAGACGACATAGGTAAATTACACATCCAAACATGATAATCAAGACATGCGTGCCATGTAACAACATGACTACATGCCA